CTCTCTCTCTCTCTCTCTCTCTCTCTCTCTCTCTCTCTCTTTCTCATACTTTATCTTAAATTATCTTATTATTTATACTGAGAGAAAAAATATCTAAAAAATAAACAATATTTATTCGGTGGGTACTAATAGCATATTTATTTGAATCGAAATTTTTTCGTTTAAATAGAATAAATAATTGCTTCCATGAAAATCTCAACAGTTCTAGGAAACTATATATATTTTTTCATTTGAAAAAAAATTGTATATATATATATATATAAAAGTAATAATATATATATGAAATATGTATATATATATATATATATATATATATATATATATATATATATATATTTCAGTATATCTTAATATTTTTATTCTGATACTGATGACGCGACGATTTGAAATCTCAAGGTATTGAAGGATAGTTTATTGATACCTTGGTGTATTGGATAAGACAATACGGGCATCTGAGAATCCGCTGCTCCGCCTGTTGCAAGTATCCCTGCTTCGGCTTTATCTCTACGCAGAACGATGAGCGTCCGCGGAAAACTGTCTCGTCAAATTGAAGGCGCAAATCCAAAAACGTATAATCCGGAAACTTCATGGCGTACGTGCCCGTGATTTCCTTGTGCCGGCGTTTCTCTGTAACAAACGAGTGATGTAAGTACGAGGACGATAAGCTTGAGGAAACTCCGTGCTACTTTCTTCGTGTTTTTAAAATGTTTGTTTTGAGATACCGCCTTATTTTACATCCGCATTTTGGGTCGTGTGTTATCATCTTAATTATACTAATTGTAAAACTCCATGATACACTCCAATCTTCGAGAAAATTTTCTCAGCCAGGGAATTGAGAACGGCGCGTTTCTCAGCATTCTTTTTACAGAAGAGAAATGATAAGTTACACAGCTTTTGAATTTCGCATATGTATTTACAATTTATTATAATATATTAATATTTACAATTTATAAATGGTTATATATTTATAAATGTTGAGAACAAATCGTTTCCCTTGAACGCGACAAAGCCGAAAATCGCGCGAACGTTTTTTTTACGCGCAGGCGATTAAACGCTTTCGAAGCTCTTAATATAACGTCGTTTATATCCGGCCGGTTAACGTTTCTCTTGCGGGGGTACACGCGAGTGACTAATGGAGCACATCGAATTTGGGGTACCCTCTTGGACATATACCGTCGACGGATAAGCGAGATAACGAGGCAACTTCTGTTTGACATGTTTAATTGTGGCGATATCTTACAGCCGCGTGTGTTCGACGCGGCTAAATGCGCGGAGGGAAAGTTCAACCATGTGCTCGTTAATTTATGCTGCTACGATAAATAATCGTTTCGCAGTCATCGCCGGGAGATTATCGGTTGTACTGTTTAGGTCGTTTAGCTACGGCTGTTTCTTATCGCGAATCCCAGGATTTATCGTGCGTTTTTTCCACGATGCAAGTGTAAACGACGGTTTTCTCGTAATTTCTCTGAACATCGCTGTAGAAGCGTCTTTACGCAATATAATTCTATACTCTCTAAATTTCTTCGGGTGAAATCTCACTTGAAGAATAGAATGACGACCGAGTCACTCGAATTCGGATGACCTTTCGCTTATATGGAGTGAATCAAGCTCGAGTTAAACGCTCATTCGCGCGACTCCGAATGGCCATATTTTTATTATTGCTCTGAGTGAATTCTCATTCGAGTTTTGAGTCGGATTTCACTGTCAGAAATTTAGAGAGTAATCTATGGAGAATACCAGAGTATAAAATATAGAAGTTATTCTCTAAAAAGTCTTTTTAAATTTCTTAGAGTGAAATTAGTTTTAAAAAGTAGAGTGGCAGTCGAATTCGGGAAACTTCCCCTCATATAGAGCGAAATCTGATATAGTCTGCCGTCATAAGAGCAAATTTATTCTAATCGATCGAAATATTCGCCTGTATGAATTACAATTCGCAGTTAAGTTTGAGTCTAGTTTGTTCCAGCGATTTCGAGTAACGGCACTTTCATTATCGCTTCGTGTTAATTATTATTCGAGTTTTGAGCGAGATTTCACTCCAAGAGACTTAGAGATTGCTTCGCAAGAGAAAGGTCCATCGATGTTCCCTCGATTTTCGGTCGTAGAAATCGCACGATTCTGCGCGTTCGCCTGTAAATTTCGCTCCTCGATCACCGAAATGTCAGTCGATGCAATTAACGCAACACGTGTCATACCGAAGTGTTTGCGAATTTCGAATGTATCGCTCGCTGAAGATACACCTTCACTCTCGACGTCGCAACACTTAGACTCTCCGCCGCGGTGGACTTTCTTCTATTTTGGGATCACAAGTGAATCGCGAAAACGTCTGGTGCTTACGCGTTCTTGTCGGTACCAAGTCTGCAGGAGACTGTAAGGAGACTTGCCTTGGGATAGTCGTGCTGTACGACTGTATTTATAATATGCGCATCCACGGACGTACACTAAGCTTCAATAAAGTCCATTTACCATTTACCTTAACGAAAACTTACTAGTCCTTCTAATCCTTCACATCGTGTCTGAATATTCGTATTCATTACCATCGTTGATTATTCATATAATCCGACATTTTGACAGCTTGACACATCATATGATATTATATTCCATTAGATCGTATCATATTTTATACAGACACGATGGAAATGATTAGACCAGTGATCTCAAGTGAATGTTAAGACTTTATTGAAATCTTAACATTCAGCGTACACATCTTAGAGAGTATTGATTAGATAGACTCTTTAAAATATAAAATCAAGAAAAGGGGAGAAGAGCTAATGCACGAATATAGTGGTGTAATCAAACTAAGTAAACTATTAAAGTTAGTGCAGTTATGAAATGAATACTTCCTCCATCCATCTAAAGGACATGCACTAACTTTAATAGTTTAGTTAGTTTGATTATACTATATCCGTATTGGCTTTTATAGGTCCTTCTCCCCTTCTCTTGGTTATACATCTTATAAGTAAACTTACCCAAAAAGTATACTCCGATTTCTTTCTAATTTGGTACAAATGTAGAAATACAAAAAATATTTAGGTCATATTTTTTCATTTTGGCCTACTTCCACGGGAAGTTTAGAGCTTTTTAATGTTTTCACTCTTATCAACAAATGTAACAAAAATGCATAAAAGTAAAATTGAATACAAGGTATAGTTAAATAATTTAAAAAAAATCGACATAGATACGATCGACTGAGATACGAATCATTCTAAATTTCTTTAGCCAAGATTCCAACCGAAATATTTTAAATCTGTGCTAAATTAGTCAAAAATGATTCGAATCTCGGTCAAACCAAGAAATTATTTGTATAAATAATTGTTTTCCAACTTTTTACATGTTTTGATTAAACATTTTATTATTTACATGAATAATTTTACTTATTTGACTTCATATTCATAATCAGCAAACCAAAAATCAGCCTATATTCTTGTATTCAATTTTATTTCTTATGTTGCAATTGTTGATGATAGGAATAAGAACATTAGAAAGCTATAAACTGCTGTGAAACTGCCTGTGAAACTCAAAATGGGCCAAAATGAAAAAATATGACATAAATACTTTTTGTATTTCTACATTTATGCCAAATTAGAAAGAAATCAGAGTGTAACTTTTGGGTACACTGTAAAAACTGATGTGTTAAATTTAACACATTTCATGTATCCCAAATCATCCACTCTCATTTATGTGTAAATTTAACACAAAAAATGTGTTAAAAAGTAATACGCATAATATGGAAAAATTTAACACAAGAATTTAACACTTAAATATTGTTAGGAATCACAGGTTGTGTTAAATTGACATATTTAATATATCAGGCATAAATTATGTCAATTTAACATTTTTATTTCATCAAAACCGTAGATTAATACTTCTCTTAAATGTTAAAGTGACGTTTTATTTTTATTTTAATTTAACATTATATATTTGTCAATTTAACACAAATGTGATTTCTGACAGTATTCAAGTGTTAAATTCTTGTGTTAATTTTTCACGCGTGATACTTTTATATTCATTATTATTTCATATTATGCGTGTTACTTTTTACCACATTTGTTTTGTGTTAAATTTACACATAAATGAGAGTGAGTGATTTGGGACACATGAAATGTTAAATTTACCACATCAGTTTTTACAGTGTAGGTTTACTTGTTAGAGGAGTTTTCTGGAATGCAACGCGAATGCTTTATCATCGATTTTTAGTGGGATTTTTAGTGTCGTTGTTTCTCTCACTCGTTCGGACCTATTTTCCACTTATCGGGAGTTAACAAAGCGTTACCACGCTGTCAAAAGTGTAGCCGACGGCACGAATTTCTCCTCGCGTGGGGAGTGTCGGAGGTGCCTTGTGTCAAAGGATAACGACACGCGGCAATTTCGCTAAATGCCGTGCGCGCTTGAATTTCGTGCATCGTGTACGAAGTTACGGATACGATTGATCACGCGACAGGCTTTCCTTTTTCTCCTCGGCCAGGGGAAAGTCGCGTACTCGGCTAAATACAGACGAACGTAACTTCTTCGGGGCTACCTCTCGTTTCGAAATGTCGAGTAACGACGTTGCTCTCTTCAAAAAGTGCTCAAGTGTCTTACTCTGAGCTTTATTCGCCTCGTACGATTGTCACGTATACTAGCCGACAGAATAGCCGGCAGAATACCTTAACACACAACGCAACTAGGTCATTAGAATTTTCTAAGCGTGCGCATTATTGATTTATTATCTATTCAAAGAAGAAACGACGCGTCAAGTCAGTAATCTATCATTGTGTCAACGTTGCGTTGGTTAATAAATTTCCGTACGATTATCAAATATCATAATTGTAATGCGCGTTAAGGCTATTTAGTCGGTTAGTGGATAGCCAAAAAATATAATCTCATCCTTTATCACGCATGTCTTCAAGAAGATTTTTCTGAAACTAAAAGATAAATATCTTAACACGCTAAAAAAAGAAACTCTGTTACAAGATGCTATTTCCTCCAATTTCATCGAAAACTTTAACTTAAAAAAATTCTTCTACTGAAGTGGGAATTAATCGGAAATCTACCAGATACTATTTTGCTTTCCTTTTGAATCTAGAAAAATATATTTACTTGCAGCAGAATGTCCTATTTTTAAACTTAAGTTTCAAATTGCATTCAGGATTTTTATAAAAAGACTATTAAAGATTATAGAAGACTACTGAGGCCAAAATACACGGGTATGCAAAAATCCAAATTAGTAACCATTTAGCTTTGAAAATAAAGTCGCGCGCGCGTAAAAGTTTGCAATTTATAGCAATACTTCAGGCACGAAAACATAAAAGATGACGCTCTAATATAAATGTTTTTTTACCAGAAGAGATTTCTTCAAAAACACGACAAATGTGAGGCGAAATTACATCGTGCTAAGAATATTTTCCTTTTGGTTTTATAAGAATTCTCCTGGTACCATCGTTGCCTAAGGATGAGATTATGTATTTGAAACTTCTTTTTGGATGTGTATTTCGTAACACATCTGCCAATAGAAGTCGTTTTTTTTTTTTAGAAATTCTCGGAAGACAAATTTTCCTATCCGGTTGTCGAGTACGTTCCAAAGTTCATCGAGTTAAACGTTTGGCAATCTTCCTTCCACTGACTGTACAATGCTACTTCGGCTTGAGAAT